AGTGTTATATTGTCATCAAGTGATCACCCATCTAGGTACTGTCCAGACTAGACATTGCTTAACATTTTTATAGAAGAAATTACTAATGCTCCCAAGAAAATTGCATTTTGGCATTAAACAACCCATTAGGAGTTGATATGCTGCTAAAGAAACTCAAAATCCTAATTCTTAGGCAGTGTTATATTGTCATCAAGTGATCACCCATCTAGGTACTGTCCAGACTAGACATTGCTTAACATTTTTATAGAAGAAATTACTAATGCTCCCAAGAAAATTGCATTTTAGCATTAAACAACCCATAAGGAGTTGATATGCTGCTAAAGAAACTCAAAATCCTAATTCTTAGGCAGTGTTATATTGTCATCAAGCGGTCACCCATCTAGGTACTGATCAGACTAGACTTTGCTTAACATTTTTGAGAAAGAAATTACTAATTCACCCCCAAAAATAAATTTTGGCATTCAATGACCCATAAAGAGTTGATATGCCGCTAAACAAATGAACTCAAAATCCTCATTCTTAGGCAGTGTTATATTGTCATCAGTGGATCACCCATCTAGGTACTGTCCAGACTAGACATTGCTTAACATTTTTATAGAAGAAATTACTAATGCTCCCAAGAAAATTGCATTTTAGCATTAAACAACCCATAAGGAGTTGATATGCTGCTAAAGAAACTCAAAATCCTAATTCTTAGGCAATGTTATATTGTCATCAAGTGATCACCCATCTAAGTACTGTTCAGACTAGACCCATAAGGTGTTGATATACCGCTAAATAAACAAAACATATGCACAAATGGGAGAGGGACACTAAAATTTTGAACTTTTATATTTATTTTGTTTGTGCGTGTGTAGGTAAATAGTGTAGCCAATTTTGTTTAGTTTCCTTTCTTTTATGTTTTTATCACTTGCGTTATTAAGTGTCCCACATTATGATAATAGAACTGCCAAGAAAGGTGAAATGTTATAAAAACTTGGATGCAAATTGTTCTACTGTGAAATGGATAAGTCGATACACACATAAAAAGGAGTAATAATTTATTCGAAAGAATAATATAGTACTAACAGTCAAGAAAGAACACAGTTTACTGGAATAACAGTTAATCATTAACTTCAGTTCTGTTCAACTTTCACTCTCTCAGTAAGAGAGCCTGCTATTTTTCTTTTCAGATCAGTCCATCTTGTAAAGGTGCTCTGGCATACGTCTATATGTCTACACTGGCTTGGAAATAGTTGGTTGATTTTGTTTAGCAGAATATCAACCTCTATGTTGAAATCTAAATATTTTGAATACAATTTTATGGCTTCAACTACAGATAAAATTTGTTGTTGATCATTTTGCTATAAAATGAATTGCTGGTATTTTTACAATAAAATGTATTTTTTATACTTTTGTAGTATTTTGTTTTTGTTTGGGTGTTTATTATTTGCTCATAGTTGGGACCCTAACAGGTGCTACCACACCACTTGGAAATAGCACTAAGTTCTAGTTAGCTTATAACACAAATGCTTTGGGCCGATATTTTACTGCGTCTTGAAACTTACACTTCCTGCTGTCAATATACATAATAGACATTGGCAGGAGGCAGTATATGTTTCATGAGATATATATATATATATATATATACATACACACACATGTCCACAGCAGCAGAAATTTCGATATAAAAGCATATATAAGCATATTACTACTAATAATGATTTTTTATCACTATTTTTTTTTCTTTCTTACACCTGACAGTGACTGAAGTATTAATGTGCTGAAATATTTTGCAAGCAGCATATAGACAAAGTAACATTTCAAAAAGATCAGAATGGTATAGATAGATAGATATTAGGAAGTCGAACACAGGTTTGATTGCACTGATAATGCTTTGATCCAACGTTGTAGGATTTAGTTGGACAAACAGACTCGATTGTATTGCAAGTTGAGTCTACTCTGACAACTTGTCTATCTGGGCCAGTTGGTGAGTGGTTTATATAACAGGCTGGGATGTTCCAATCTGCTATCTGGGCAAGTCTATTCTCTAGATTGTGATCGGCTGTTGACTTTGGTGTGGATAATATGATCAATAAATATCCATCATTAAGCTATAAATGCTCAATCATGGGGTCTGTATTGAATTACAGCCTGCTTTCTTTTTGTCTGCCAACTGGACACTAGTTGGGAACTTCCTTGCAAGAGTGAATATCAAATGTTGATTCTACAACTACGAAATCAAAATATTAACCTGACAGCTTGAGTTATTCAAAAACCAAGACTCTCATGTGGATGTCGTTCATCACATCCCACCTGTTGAGAAATGTCTAAACTATTAGCTATAGACAATTGTTTTCTCATATTAATGACTATAAATAGCTTCAAGCAAATGTATCCCTTGGGTCTTAAAGAAGATTGTTCTTCCTCAGCCCATATAGACTGGGACTACAAAATCAGAAAGCTCGTTACCATACAACAAAAACATCATTTGAACATGTCCTATAATAGCAAAAAGAAAAATGGGTAGGAAAATTGAAAGTAAAAGGGAAAATAGTTATATAATCAAGATATTAACTTTTCATATTATCTTAAACTAAAGATTAGGAAAAAACTCACATCAATAGGAGCAAGAATGATAACAGTGAATCTGAGAAGTCTAATTTAAGAAAAAGATTTATAAATTTCAACCAACGATAAAGCCAGTCAATGAATGTCAAATGTTTCGAATGGAAACCACTAATTTCTCCATTAATATATTGTTGCTATTTTTGTTGATAATCCAAGATCCAAATAAACTACTGATAAAACAATGTAATTTTTTACAATATTTGTTGTATAGTCTTTACATTTTGAAACATTATCTTTACAAAGGAGGCATGGTGGGAGTAATGGATAGTGGCTTAGATTGTTGAATCGGAGAACAGAGTTCAAATTCTAGTCAAATCCATTACATTCACTTGCGTGCTAATACCCTTGGGAAAGGCATGAATCCTCTTCTTCTCCCACCAGCTATGGGTAAATAGCAGGACAGGCCGTGTTCTGTAGCCTTGGATGGGAACTGGTTTACCGCAGAAAGAAATGGTAACCTACTGTAGGGAAAAAAAATCTGCTCATCGGTCATGTATCTTTCGATATATGATTGCCTAACCATGTATCACACATAGCACATAACTGACTGATCTTTACATTTTTCAAATCAGACAAAGTAAAAAGTCAGTGCTTTTTTGGTGGTGGTGGTGGGGTGGTTAGTCTTGTTTTTCGTCTTTATTATTTTTTTTTTTGTTGTTCCTGGACTTTTTATCAGATGGTTGTTAATCTTCGATTTAAAATTCTTAGATTTGAGCTGACAGAAAATCAATCTTCATAACGAGCTTAAAAATAAACTTTATAATTTCCTCTAAATTTTTTTGCATGATAATATTGTTGAAGCCTAGAAAAGGTTACTGAATAAGAATAACCAAAACCAAAGTTGGAAATGGAACGATAATATTTATAACAGGAACAACATATAAGATTCGCCAGTGGCGTGTAGTAAGTAATCACCTGCTAGTGGTGAGCTAGAAGTGAATCAAGGTGAATTGCAAGCGAAATCCCACAGTGAAACCAAATGACTACCACATACAGTATATTCTATTTTATTTATACGGATTGGGACATGCCCATTATAGTCCATAGGTACAGTATAACAAATATGAACTCCTTAGGGTTTTTTTTTTTGGTTTGATTTTTTTTATTTTTTTTTTATTTTTCCTGATCTGCAATTGATGTTAACATTTTTTAAAAAGATAAATATCAAATTTTTATTGGATATTTCTGACAAACTCTATAGAAAATGAATGATTGGCTAATGATTTTAGGACAGAAATAAACAACATCATGGAAGAAAGGGATTGTTAGTGGTCAGGAATATTAAAGCATACATTACTGGCAGAATAAGCCTATTATATGTATAATCTAAATGCATTGCTAATGTTTTATGAGTGATTCTATTTATATAAATTTACTATCAACATGTGTTGTGATGTGGGATCTGGCAAGACAATACTTAGCAGAGATAGATGTGATAGTAATATTCAGTTCTGAGAGAAGTGACTACAATAGTACTATCTTCCTCAAAGATATTTACCCAGGATTACTTATCATGAATGGTCAGTCCATTCATAATAGTCAGGAGGATAAGTGGCTCTTACTACAACACATTGCTAATCCTTTTAATTTTGTAATGCACTGAAAAAAGGTATTGTCAGAAGTGATAAATTAAGGTAAGCATTAATGGAGGAACAAGTATCTTACATATACACTGTGAATGTACTGCTCAGGAATATTGGTAGTGAAAAATTTTAGTGCCAACATTACTGACAGAACAGAGCTATGTAGAATATAAATTCTTTGCCAATCATTTTACTGTGCAAATGCAATGATGTTAGAAAATGTATTTTAAGGTAAGCATTACAGACATAATAGATCTATAATGTGCATTATTTTTTAATCTGAGAGATTTTACTACTTAAACTTTATTTTTTAGTAGTTACCCATATTATTAAATAAGCGGAGCGTCTAATCAAATATGGGTATCTATTAAAATATAAAGTTATCTCACTTGAGATATTTACTGAGTCAACTATGTTTTATCTGAAATCCCCAATGAGGATCAAGCCTAATTGTCACAATATAATTTCACACACTATTGACATGAGGATCCTCATCATTAGTCCCATGACATAGTGACACCACAGAGTCAATGTGCAGTTGAGTGCATCTGAGCCACTTGCCATTGATTGATTTCTACATCTTATCAACTCTTTGCTGGTGTTTTCAAGCCACAAAATGTTTTAGATTGTAAAATTTTTTTCTTTGAAATAATAATTATTTAGTGATGCGTCTTACTAATTAACCCATAGGTGAGGGGAGAAGTGGATATATACTTTTCTCAAGAGTATTTGTCCATGAGTGAATATAACAAACCAAACTTGGACTGGAACTCAGCTCTCTGATTAACAATTCTGAGCCATTATCCATTACAGCACCTGGTATTCCCAAATGGTCACCCATCAAGGTACTGACCAGGCTTAACTTCAGCGATCATACAGGAACCAGTATTCCAATGTGATGTGGCTGTAAGCCAGGACCTGACTAGCTTCCTTCATTTATCATGATACTGTTATAGACAAGCGTATGGTTGCAAGTAAGAAATACAACAGTAGAAATAGATTTACATGATTTATTTCAATAGGAACATGTGGTTTTGGGACAGCTACCTTGTAGTATAGTTCATAAGCCAGCTTCCGATCTGGGTTGATCTCTCATAGTAGTTCTCACTAGCTGGTGTGGCGTCCTCCTGCTGACTGCCCAGAATGACCGTGACAGATCTCTTCCCTGGCCTCCTGTTGACTGCCAGTACTTCCCCATGTGACCCCTTTTATGGTGTTTTTATGACTTAACAGGCTTGAAAAATGATGTGAGTATAATTAGGAGGGAAGCATTTTTATTGGTCAAAAAATAGAAACACTTTAAAATATTATTTTATTTTTCGACCAGAACTCATGCGTCGGGCCTATGTGCAAACGACGATAATGGTCATTTTGTAACGGGGTCTTGTCCCGTTCACATCTGGCTCTCCTCTTGAGTATGTTAGTTTATTTGCCTGCAAATCAGCCAAGATATGTCTTATTTTATTTTATAACAATATAGTAATCAGTTTGACATTTTAAAATCATTCATAAACTTTTTTCAAATTAATACCAACATCATTGAAACTCTGTTCCATCAATTTCAAAACTTATAATTTATTTATTATAATTACTTATAAATATTGCATGTACAATTCATATATTATTATAAATATTATTATTTAAAACATTTTTTTTTACCTGCAATTTTTTTAACCACATGACAGGTCATAACCAGAGACTTAGTATAAGCAAAGGATGTGATTTTCTGTTGTTTCTACTTAATTAAACAAAAGAGCTATTAACAAAAAAAAAACTTAAATGAATTCAGTTCTTTGCAGGCTGTGCTTGTTAGAACTATTTTTTTTAATTTTCTATAGAGATAGTTCACCATGGATTTTGTTGATTTGTTCTTGACTTACTTTCTTTCTAAACCCCCAAAATGTTAATTACAATTGTTATGTGTATGGTAGCAGGAGAGAACAAATGAAGTACCACTGTAAATCAAAAAGGCAAGAATTGTAAAGATAAAATTCTTTGTATTGCCAACATAGAGGAACATATCTTTGTGGGTGAGAGAAGTGACATGGAGGATGGGGAGAGTTGGTAGGGCCTGCATTCGATGTATGTATCAGGTCAGTTGATTGAGGTCACTGATGATCGTGGTGGACACAGCTTGCCTGCTCACTGTCATGAGTAGTGTTCTTAAAAGCTTATAGAATGGATCATGACTTAGCATTATTTGTCATACATTTTGCTTTAGTAGAGATGTTCATGATTGGCTCCTGTTATACTGTATTTTATGTGTATTTTTGTGGGTGGGGATTTGTTCCATGAGCTGGATATGGTGCTTAGAGTGGGTTTCTTTTATGTATTTAGTTTTGCCTCCTCAGTATTCACATCCAACCGACAGGTTTTGATTGTAAAGGGAATCAAAAAGAGATCTAGTTTGAAGCAAAATATAACATCATTATTTATAAACTTTGTTTCAATTTCAAGACTTGTCAAGATATTTAAACTGAACTTAGATGTACTGTTTAAAGGTATGACAGAAATGATTTGATCTTATAGTTCAACACACCTGTGAACCTAAGTTAAGAAATATACATATTCTGTAGTCTGCAGAAAATCAAATTGCATTGTGTTATCTAAAAGTTCTAGAAATTAGAATTGATTAATCACTTTATCAGAAAATAAAGAATTTACCATCATTTCCCTTTGAAGAAGTCACATCATGACTTTAGAGACGCCAACTTTTAGATACCACCTTTTATATAAAATATTGGTGGTTAATACACACACACACACACACACACACACACATATATATATATATATATATATAACATATTTCTCCGATTTCTTTTTGAATTTGTAGGTCTGATGAATTGGATTGTAATTACGATTCCAATGTAATAGATTATAACCATGGAATATTAGTGTTTAAGCCTTTTTTATATATATATATATATATATATATATATAAATATATATATAAATTCATGAATCATTCACACAAAAAACAAATATAGAGGTTAATGATTTAAATGGCGAGAATACATCTTCGCAAACAATATAAATGAGATACATCAACCACAAACCTGTATATGAATGATATGATCCCTGTTCATAAATTCCAGTTGCATAAGGTCTTTTAATTTTTACAAGCTTTCGTCTGTTCCTACAGACATCCTCAAGTATGGAAATAGATTTTGTTCTTGTTTTTACTTCTCGGTAATAAGAGGACAACGAAAATAGAGATGAAATCCGAAAAAATGCTATGAGAAATGCATTATTGTTTTTGAACATGTGGTCACAATACTGAGTTTGAATTTAAATTTTAAGGTTGTGCGTTTTTGTACAAAAGAGAATTCTTTTTACTGGTAGATTTTCCGTCTATGTAGCATGAACTATATTGTTCAGTAATTACAGTAATGTCACACTTATTATCCGAAAGTTGCACGTTGGATCAGTTATTTTCATTTCAATTAAAGGTGCAAATTGTAATTTATAAATTCATGAATCATTCACACAAAAAACATTTTTTCAGATTTGAAAAATCAGTATCTGACTATAAACTGATACCATAAACAGTTGGAAAAATCCTTCAAATTTTAAAATTAAAATTCGTAGGTGAAAATTGTCATTTACTAAAGGTATCTTAATTCCAATAGTAAAGAGTGTGTATATATATATATACACACACACACACACACACATATATTACACATTATGAAATGGACAGTCTGACAATAATTTTAAGACATTTTACACATATATATATTTTAAGACATTTTACATATACACATATATATATTTTAAGACATTTTACACACACATATATATATATATATATATATATATATATATATTTTAAGACATTTTTATGTTTAACATTCTTTTTATAGATACAAATATTTAAGTAAATGCTCTGTTTATAATAAACAATATTAAATAACATTTACCAGCCTGAATTTTCGAGAAATTTTCATAGAAAATATTCATCCTCCAACAGGATTTGAACCTGTATCCTATACAGAACCGTCATATAGCCTTTGTCCATTTCATAATATATATATATATATATATACACACACACACACACACACACACACATATATATATATATATATCATCAGAATCTATTTTATCTATTTATGAGTCAACCATTCATCCAGGCTTTGAATACTGCTGCCACATCTGGTCTGGTGTTTCTGCTATATATTTTGAGATTCTTAATAAAGAAGAATCAGCAATATTATTGGTTCAGACCTAGCATCTCACCTTCAGTCATTTTCCCACCACCATTATGTAGCTTTCCTCTACCTTTTCTTTTTCTTTTGTGGTAATTGTTTGGATGAATAAATGAAATAATCTTTCTTTCTGTTTTTTTTTTATTATTATTTCTATATTGTCAAAAACAGATTGACATTTTGATATTTTAATATCATTTTATAGCCTGCCACCTGCATTGATGATGTTTTACATTTTCAAAAATATGCCCAAAAAATCTATGCACAATGCTTATAGGTGTTTTCTCAATAATGGGCCCGGGGTAGTTTGATTTAATGTTAATATATCTTGATTTGCAATTTCTTTTTCTATATTGTTCCACTATTCCATTGTTAAGGTACAATTTTACATCAATATATTCAACTGTTTTCAAATCTGTATTGACAGTGATGTTAAATAGCAAGATTTCAAAAAAAACTGAAATAACTTTTTTTCTGAATTCATCAATTTTTCTACCAGTGCTGTTTTCAATTAATATGAAGCTGTCATCTCTATAAAATCTGTTATCATCTTTATCATTTCACTCAGTCTATTCAATATGAAAAATCCCATGAGCTGATAAGCCTCTGCCCCATCTGAATGGCAAAGTTCATATTTTTCTTTGGGGCCCTTTTCACCCACATATTGTTATTATAATATGGAGTTTCAACAGTGTTTAATAATCTGAACCTGCTGACCTGAGATGTTCATATATTCTTTGGAGAAGTTTATGACTTTATCTAACATTTCACATTATAGAAGAATAAATGTTCTTAATATCATATTTTGGTTTTATATATTGTTGAACAATTTTAATGCATGGTGGAGTTAGGAAAGCACTTTGTAATAATGATTAGTGACTCAGATTGAGGAATTGGAGAGAGCCGTTCAAATTCCAGTCTAGTTCATTACATTCACTTACAGGCTAATGCCAGCTTTTCCCCCTCTAGCTATGGGTAAAATAGCAGGATAGACTGGGTTCTATAGCCTGGGTGGCAACCAGTCTGGGAGAAGAAAACTTTGAATTCAAACCGGATAACACTATCCTAAAAGTGTGTACACATTTGGCTGGAGCCCACTTATGAATCCAAATTACAACTATGAATTTGCACATCTAAATGAATATGACCTCCGCTATGCTTGACCAGCTTTTGTTCAGATGTGATGGGTTTGTTTGACGGAGCAGGTTCACCCAACCAGGTGAATGCTACAACAGGTACGGGAACTATTTTATGCATTCACTGGTACATTGTCACTGGTTTCCCAGTTATGTCTTCAATAGATTCCATAGCCAATACTCAGGCCTGTTCTCAAAGTCTTTTTGTGTGCAGGAAATATCAATTGTTCAGTATTTTTTCACAAAAACTTTGTCTTTTCCAAAACCCTGTGAGCTCAGCAACTGGGGGTGGATATTTACAAATGTTTGGTTTGTTTTACGGCATAACATAGTAGGTTATTTAATGCAGACAAAATTTTTATTTCTGGTAAATTATTTTCAGTAATGTCAATCTAGTAGAATGCTTAAATTTATGTAATCATGGCACCAGAGAAAAAGCTCATCAGAGCAGTTACCGTGAACATTTTTGTAGAAAAGATAGAGAAAATCCATGCCATGTTGGTTACAAAATAACTGAAGTCGAGATGTGAGGATTAATTACATTACGGATCTTTCTTTGGAT